TTTAATATAGAAGCGAACAGCGGAGACCATTGGTAAAAGGGAAATAACTCTTAAGAAATACATTTTTATTTACGTATACACGTTTACAGTTAAACATAATCCAGACATTTTTTTTTTTTAATAGTTTATCTATAAATATCAATTAGCAAAATTAACCTTTTTCTTAATGCTTATTCCTATTGCTAACAGATTTGTATATCTTCAAAAATGCTATATCACAAATATTAGAAAAAAATAAACAAATAATTGTCTTTTCCGTTCCACAAACAAGGGAGGTAAATCGGCACAAGTGACATACGCGAAGGAATCCTACAGGTGTAAAAGTCACTTGTTTTAAAACAAAGGGACGAGCAAAGGGTTAAAAGTTAAGTTAAGATTAAGGATATTCAGTATAAACTTTAAATCGTAATAAAAACACTTCGTCAAAATCTTTATAAAAACTATATTTTTTTATCAAATATACTAGACTCCCGACTGATATATAATAAAGCTGAAACGTATGTGTTCTGGCTACATGAGGGAAGTTCCGTTCATATCAAGGACTGTCTTCTAATCCACAGCAATATTATGTCTAATCGAACACAATTTATACATATATATGCATATATAAATGTACATGAAACATACAAACATAAATGTAAACACTCACCCCAAAGTATCAATAAAAAAACCACTACCATCCCATACCCGACCAGTTGGTTATACTTCATCAGAGAGGGAACCAATGGTTATCACCGCCCGGGGTGGCAGAAGTTCTCTCCCAGGCACTGTCGGGTACTAGCTGATTACTATTACGGACCCACCTTTGTGGGGACTAAGACTTGGATATATTTTGGCAATACCGCTGATTATGATTAACTTTGGGATCAGGATCTAGACAAAGATTTCATATTTTATGTAAATAGTCGGCACACAATAAATGTAAATACTTTTCATTTAAGTAAGGAACCGGAATCGCTTACAAATCTGGGCTCGTAACCCATTTTTCGAATCTCAGGACCAGTAAGGCCTTGATAAAATTTCAGTGACGGCCTGTCAAATCGAGACTTTGACTCATTGCACTAGTCTCATATATTAACACATGTATATTTGAGGCTGAGTCAATAGTCATTTTACAAGGTAGGTATAGTTAAGTTAATTAGTCGTTCGCACATATGGTGGCAGCGGTACTACTTCTCACATTACAGAGTTCCATACTTTGATTGACCACCCACTTAACGACCATGGACGGACAACTGACGTATAACGCAGTCTAGACTTTCGTCAATACCCGAGGACAAGGGCAGGGCCGTGACCGATATGGGGGTAACGTCACGAAGGATGCTAACCTGCAGAATGTCACGGCATTTAATTAATTTCAATGCTGTCAAAACATCCGGATCACTTTTCAACGACTAAAAGGTATTACCTTGTTGAGATGTCGGTTTTCAAAATGATTGAGATGTTGAAATTCAAGGTCAGATGGATTCAAACAAACTTCCCAAGAAATGCATGTGTATAGGATAGCAATCCCATTATAGTCTGTGTCTCGTAAATTTCTAAATGTGAACAGCATATGTGCGGCGACATTTAAATTCAAACAAGCACATTGAGATTTTTTTAAAGAAACGCTATTCCAAGTAGCACTAATAGCATTATAATCTTATCGTAATGTCGGATTTACCTACAAAACGTTCATTAAATAATGCCCTGACCATCGACATACTACATTTTTGATACAGTTTGTCCTTTTCATCGTATTTATATTAACTTTGTTTAATTAAAGTAGAAACGTGATTTCGTTCTGATACATATTCCGTCAGACGAAAAAGTGCAATGACGACATTCAAAGACAGACACCATACCTACTTAAGTGGAGAGGATACTATTAGGTTATTCGTTATACTGGTGACAGACACTATTTTGTGTTAGTAAGTGAAAACAATACTTATCTGTTCACTTCATCCCAATCATTTCGAACCAGCACACACCCAAAAGTAAAATCAATGCCGTCAATTGATAACAAGAATCAATAATATTCCGCTGGAAAACGATCCTTTATTGATTAAATACACATTTATCTTGGAGTAGGATATACTATTTATCGATTGTATATTTAAAAATATATAATTACAATAACAATTCAGTTCCATCCACGATATGAGTGTGTAACAGTATCTGTACCTGTCTAATACTCCTTGTGTTCGGGATAAAGGTATAGTACGAGGTTTGTCAAAGTCGTTTATTTTTCAAAGATAGGGAATAGTCTGGACGACCAAAGTCTAGCATTATCAAAGGTAGCTTCTCTGTCGTAAAACTGAAGTCTCCGGAAATGATAAGTACACTGCGCTGAGTTGGAATTTCGTCAGAGACATTTCATGCAATTCTAACACATTATTTTTTGCATGAAAATGGCTAGTGAGGAATTGACTCCTTTTTTTTTACTTTCGTATCTCCGCTCCCAATCCTAACGCATATGGCTTATTTCCGGGATTTACACATAATCTTGTGGCGATGCAAGTTGTGAAATGTAGGTAGATGGGCAGTTTATTATTGTCTGGAAGGTTTTACCAAGGGTTCTGCAGGTAGTGTAGTGGATGGTGTATTCGACTTTTACTCAGATCGGACTTCAAAAAAGTATTGTATGACCTGCCCAACCAAATGTGTGTTTTTTCGAATTCTCCAATTTTTTCCAACAGCGAGACCGTCTGCGCGCTTCCACTTGGACCATCAATAATAATATTTATAGGTTGGGAAATTATTTTCCATTTAAAAAACAAATACATTTTGTTTAAAGGTTTCCATTCAAACCAAGGGCGAACAACTCTGTGTCGTTTCTGCTTTTGCTAGTCATTAAATAATTAAAGGGGGAATTTTGAAGGGTTACTTTATAAATTATAATTCGAGTTCTGTGTTATCATAAGTCTATACTAGTTTTGTACATAATGCTTTTTAGTTAAAATGCAAATTGATTACAGAAAAAAAGCTATTCGCTGGAGTGGTAATGGATTGTACGAATTGTGTCCAGACATTTTTCAGGGTAGAGATGCATGATTTGGTAACCTAGTATAAGTATTTTTCTTGATCCTATAATGTTTCTAGTTGTGTCAAAACGACAAAGAATGTACATTGATAAATTAAGTCCCTGGAAAATAAGTCACGACGGGAGGTATGGTGCTGGATCAAGAACAGGAAGCTTAAAACATGATATACTATTAATGATGTAATGGCGCAAGACAGCACTATAACATACCTGTTCCCGTGACCAGAATTACGATAGAAAATAATCATCACGCACCTACTATTTATATGTACAGCAATTAGCCAATTGGCTTACTAAGTCATTATATTGAAGTGTCCATGAACGAAATAAATATTTACAGATAGGACGTGTGAGTGAATCACTTAACAAAGACCAGCTGGTGTGAGAAGTCGTGAACCGTGAGTGTAGTTTAGTTATTTAGCGGATAAGTTTGTCACCGAACAAATCAATGATGGACAGGTTTTAGAAAATCAATGTATTATTGATTGGCGAGTTATAACAGGATTGATAACACAGGTGACTGACAGAATAAAAGCTGGCAATAAGAGCATTAATAGATTAAATAGATTGAGCAAAGAAGTCAATAACTCACTTTGATAATATCCCGAGTTGGGGGTGATTTTCTGAAGGAAGTAAAAAGCTCGGTTTGCTACAGTGTTAGATCAGTGTATTGTCGAGTCTTTTACTGGTTCGACCAATGCAACTCATAACAGCGTAGCAACTAAATCATGTAATCATATATATATCCCCTGTAATGCAATTAATTAACTCATGTTATATAACCTTGGGCGATTTTGATTGGCTGACCGCGTCACACTTTCCCACGATAGTAAATTACTCCGCACAAAGTATAGTAGTAAATGTTCTGTTGGATCTAAAGATATTATGATTACAGAAAGATTGATGACAATACACACAAACAAATAACCAGAATATTATCTAATCCGTCAAACTCGGGGAATTTAACAGACGTTCTGAACAACGGTACACATATAGAAACAAACTTACAAAAAAATAATGTCAAAATGAGAGCCATGTAGAGTTCCGAGAGTAGATCGTAAATTTCATCTGATTTCCATGTAAATGTGCATTCTGTGTTCGGAGGAAACATTTATGGTGGACCTTTCAACACTAACATGTATCAACAATCTCCCACTTGTTAAGAATTGTCTTCAAATTTCAGCTGAAGCTCTTTATTTGTACAAAACTTTTAAATAATGGATTAAATAATAATGTTAATCCATGTTGTTTGAGTGATTTAAACATACAATATTGTGACTACGATGCAGTTGCTCGTTTTATCGAATGGAAGGACAGTAATTCAGTCATATGATAAAACAGGATCTTACACTCAGTTTCCATGTCATATGAGAATTATGAAACTCGTCATGAAATGTTCATTTTAGCGAGCCTCTGGCGAGCTAAAACGAAAATATTCTTAGACTCATTTCATAAATTTCATATGACATGGAAACGATTGCAAGATCCTATATAGACGTATAGAAATGTTGGTACGTACGATATGTTGCCTTGGTGTATATATGACTCTCTAATTACGAAACGACTTCAAAAGAAGATGCACAGAACTTACTAGCATAAATATGACGAAATTTAAGAGAAAAAAAGCATAAAACTATGATCTTCCGACAACTTAATTTCACTGAAAATACCAGGTTTAAACCCAAAATAAAACATAAATATGCATTTATTTCATGCATATTGAACACTTCGTCCAAATTGAAATTACGTATACGCACTTGTCAAAGGTTTTACCAGAATGTGGAAATGAAGATGTATTCTGAGGTTTTCCCTTAGTTTTTGATAAGTGGTATATTCTGAAGTTTGTCTTTTTTACACACACATTACAGTGGCTCGTAAATAATGTTGGTTTATCGATTTCAATGCCTATCGGTCATAATGTTAGATATAATGGTGGAGTAAGGGACATAACTGCTATAGGGTTCTCAAAATAGACCAGGAAGTATTCGGGTAATCGTTAACAAATTGTACACCAGTTGTGTGATCATCGACCTGGTCAGTATGACACTGGACAGACGATTACAGTGTTTGTTATGGCTGTACATCACCACACTCCAAGGTAAGTTTACTTATATAATGTGAAGGGGGAGTAAATATATAACAACTGGCTATAATTATAGATACCCTACTTCCTTGTAGCTGGTGGATTAACGACAGGTATAACTAATACAAAGCATGCATATACCTTCCTATAATAAAATTAAATACCTACAGTGAAAGTTTATTTAACAACATACATATATAAACACCTTTAATAGTTAGATGTTATGTGCTTCAATGTTATGCTCCTATACATTGGTTTTATTCTCGTACATGTTAGTGTCTTTGTCATATGTTCCTGATCGTTCGCTATAAACATATAAACTCGTGTTATGGTTTTATTAACATAAATAGTAATAGATGTTACGGACTGTAAATCGTGACAACATAATACCGTTCAATTTAAATATCATGCCGTAATTATATGGAAGTGCCTTATAAATTGAACAAGGCAATAGTGGCTGACTGTTGGAAACGATGAGTATACGTGTGTTATATATTTATTACAGTGATTGTTTTATAACGTGACTATGTTGATTTTATCTTATAAATCAAACTTGCGTATTAAATGTGGATTGTTGGCGTCAATTGCGTTCATTATTGTTTTCCTATGTTTACATAGGGATTGAATGGATTCATTTACATTAACGCGCTCAACAGGCTATATTCACATTTGCATAGCATTGTCATTATATAGCCTCTTTGAAAGCTGTGTCGTTGATGGGACTTTATTTAGCATGCCACACGAGACACAATTACTAGAGTATTAATTACAACACTGACCGGAACTACAATAGCCCATGTAAATAAACATGATGGCTGCTGAAATATCGCTGGGCATTGTGAGACTTGACAATGTCATTGTAAATGTATGTGCAAAAAAGAAAAAAAGAAATAAAAATACTTTTATTACAACAAAAACATGACCAATGTCTGTCTGCAATATCGAACAAAAAGCACATCGGTTGAAATCACCAATGCCGGCAATGGAAACAATTTTAACACTCGTGCAATTTATTGGAAACATCGTCTGTTACACTGCACTGATTAACAGGGGTTCGTTAAAAATGTAGGGAAATACACATTATATATAGACCTACTGACACATAAGTTACACCTATTGACCTACTGATATGAGTCACAGCACACATAAACATTTCAGACATTTGTAACGAACCCCGGCCTCTGCTCCGTCGCAAGATCACTCAATTCGTTCAAACGATATCAGTTTCACGCGTCGACAGCCACCGTTTTCTTGAGGTTCTGACGACATGTCAAATAACGAGGGTGTTATAGAATGTACCGACTGTAGTCAGATTCCCAAACAATTAACAAATAAATTCACGTCTGGATTCTTCACAAAATGAGCAAAGAGAAAGTTCGAATTAACTTCCCAAAATAACTCCCTCGTGGAGGTCAAGGTCGCATTCACGGTGTTCACTGTATTTATCCATGCGCGAAATTTGTTCCGGGGAAAAATCGAAACAATTTCAAATCTAACTTTCAGCTCAGATTTCTATTGATAAACTTAAATCACCCTATAGACATATCAAAAGCAATTGTATTGATACTGAATTGTGGAATAAAATTGAAGTGTTTGTTAAAATGTCAAAGTACTACTTTGTTTGCCAATCAGCACGCGACAATACGCTGTTCAAACTATTGAACGAAATTGTGTGGACTGTCGATAAGGCGGGCATTTTTAATTTTAATTATTAATTATAAGTTAAAAATGAACATTACAGGCAGAGAAAACGTAAATATAAGTATTGAATTGTTTTTGTATGGTATTTATGATATATTTGAATGACACAGCTTTGCTAGCAAAAACAGCATAATGCGCTAGAGAGCATTATGTTGTTTGTTTGCAAAGCTGTGTCTTTCAAATAAATCATAAATACCATACAAACACAGTTCAATGCTTAAAGATAGACCAGCTAATGCATTGCCGCAATGAACATGAAAACAAAATCCACTCAATTCCTATATCAACGTTACGATTACCTACTTTAAAAGGGTTACAATACGTTTTTGTAAATGTAATATTTTTAACGTTAGTATCGGAGAGAAAATCATGAAAATGGAACAGCCACACTGTTCGACTTTCGCCGATCAGCTGATTTTGTTGAAACGACACTACATTGTAAATGCATATATAAATATAATCTAATCATGACAAACACTTGATATTCCTTTCATTTTTGAAATTCGATCATATTTGATATTTGTTATATCATTTATTTAATAAAAGTTTATACCCGAACTTTTTCAAATCATCGGTCACTATAGTAACCATCAATGACACTCGCCATAGCAAAGTTCTCCGAGTTTGATGTGCAGGTTGATGTCGTGGGGACTACCCAGACGGACGTTTTGATGTTAAAAAGTTCGTGACTACAAGGGATCGGACGCGAGTCGAAATTCAGTATTTGATATAAAAATGTTATAAATACTATATGTATTTCAATAATTTGAATTAGAAAAAATGTAGTACATTGGCGCACCTTTTATGATTTTGATAAGGTTTATTATCATTTTTCGCAACAACGTTTTCTCTGAGAAGGGGAAATAACTCTTCTCAGAAACGGTAAAATGCGTAGTTATATGGATTGCGTGGTCATTGTGAGTAAAATCAGCTGACTGGTTGCATGAGAATCGTATTGATAGTGTGGTCATAGCTAATGGCAGTTGTTTTCAGTTGATATATTCATGCAGAAAACAAACAGTAAGAATATAAATATCATAAAATGTGCATAGGATGTGGTTTTTCACAGTTCACACAAAAAGCCACGTGATGTTTTACCTGTAAACAAAGCTCTGGCCAGGTAACTTAACATCATAGAGAAAACATTGGGCAGAAAATTACTAAAAAGATTGACAAGAATACCAAACTGAGATATGTTTTTGGTTGTATATTATAACGTAAGGAAACTCATGCTTGCTTGAATCATGTATAGAATGTGTGTATTAATATATGTAAGTACTTTAACTGATGGGAGACAAACGTATACCGATCAGTAATATGTACATGTATTGTTCACATACTAAAGTAATTAGTCAACCTTTAAACTTATTATTTTGTTTAACTGTATTGACGTCCATTACAATTAGGATGTGACATATAGACTTCAAAAAGCCGCAAGCCAAGATGTATTTTTGCGGTAAAAGTCGAGAGAAAATGCAATCAATTTCTGTAAAACAACTTACAATTATTTGGCTCTCAATTAATGTCGACAATGGCTTAATACTTATATACACAATATACACGTGGATCAATCTGACTCTTAACCCTTCACTCGTAACTAAATTTATTCACTGAACATATTAAAAATATACCATAATTTTGATCATCGCTTTTCTCATCTGTACAGGTATGACTGGATTATCTGTGGTAGTCAGTCCCAGTCCTACAGCCGAGGTCGTGTCCGGTCAGACCCTCAGTACCACGTGTCAGTGGACAGCTGACTACACAGGACCAACTGCTGTTGTTAACTATAGACTGAATGATAGTGGAGGTGGAATAGGTGCAGTGTATATAAACTTTGGGACATCATGCCCATCAGTACCACCCTACACATTTACCTGTAACAGAGACACGAGGACAATGGGGATACAGATTCCCGCCAACAGTTACAGTCAACGGGACAGATGGACATGTGAGGGGAGAAATAACAACTTCGACAATACAATACCGCCACAGACAGACACGACCACAGTGGACGTTATAGATGAGTGTAATTATTTGTGCGTGTCTATGTATGCTAGCGGAAAAATAAACTGTACCTTGATAAAATGGCATAGAAAACAGTTACTTCTAAAGTACAGTAATAGTTTGTTGCAGAATTGCAAAAGACATTATTCATCAAAGATCAGTTCAATTCAAAATGGCCCAAAAAGCGCCCATTCCATCGTAAGAGTACAACAAACACGAAGTTGTCCTAAGTCATTTTACACCGTCATAACGGGTACACCGTGTCACCAACTTTAGCAATAATGCACGAATTGCACCGATGTCTACAGGCGCGTCGCGTCGGAGAGCGTTTCCAGGACAATTGTGACGTGTAACATAGTACCCCTACTTGGGGTGGTTGGATGGTCTGCAGCGGCATAACAACGGATGTCATTTATGGATGGAAACATATAATAACATATTACTGTGAAGAATGTATGCGAGTGTGTGTAACACATGTTGGTATGTAATGTATGTGAGTGTATAATGTATGTTTGTGTAATACATGTGGGTATGTAATGTATGTGAGTGTATACTGTATGCTTGTGTAATACATGTTGGTATGTAATGTATGTGAGTGTATAATGTATGTTTGTGTAATACATGTGGGTTTGTAATGTATGTGAGAGCTAAATGTATCTGTATGAATGACGAATAAGAATTATAATATTTGAATAATGCATGTGATTGTATAATACATAAGAGTTTAGGTGCATACTGTTTATGAATTTGTAATACATATGAATAGTTATATAAAATACAAATGGGTATATATTGTGTGAGCGTATAATATTTGAGTACATAATGCATCTTAGCATTTATGTATGTGCGTGGATTTTAAATGTGTGTTTGAAATGAATTGGAGTTAATACCTGTCACAGTAAATGTATGTAAGTGTAATATATTTGAGTATGTCCTATATAAGTGTGTGAAATGCGTTTTATTGAGCAATGTACGAGAGTCTATAATATTTGTAATTGTAACATGTATTTGAGGTTATGATGAATGTATGCAACTTTAGCTCCTTTGGCAGTGAATTTAGGGTATGATACCTTGTTCGTCGTCTGTCTGTCAATTTTTTAATTTGAAGAACTGCCCCTTAAATTCTGAAAAACCCGAAAACCTGATATTGCCAAGGGCAAACCTGGGATACAGTACTATAAAGTGTCCTCAAATAAATTACCTTTACCTACGTTCAAGGTCACACGCATCAAGTATGGAAAAAAATGCGATATTCCACATTCAGATTTTGTTAGTTGAGCAGCTAAACATACGACATTTGACATTCATATTTTGAATGATAGGAGCTCGACATACGACGCTCGGCATTCAACTTTTTTATCACGTGACTCGACATACAATATTCAACACTCAGATTTAGAATGTTGAGCAGCTCGAAATTAAGGTAAGACATTTACATTTCCCAGAGGCTTTTGAAGGAGGAGACATGAGGGAAGTGTTAGTCGAATATAGCAACTAAGGGCTATACTTCAGTGGTCATTGTCTACCACCACATTATTTTTACTGACCACTACTGAACACCACTTAGCTACTTCTGATCACTTCTTGACCACTACTGACGACCACTTTGTCACGTATTCTGGATTGACTAATGTCGCACGTTTCAATGACCCGATCATGACAATTTTCTGGTACTTGATGTTACATGAACAAAATAAAATGTTGAGGCAAAATTCGCGAATTTCTCCGACGAGTATTGTTGACCTTTGTCTGAGACAACCTTTTTCTGGGATTCCAAACCAAGCAAATACGCTTTTGATTTTGCGAACGATCGGTTTACTTGCAATCGAGCTGCAAGACATCGACGAAGCGGCAGTTATAGTCTACTTTGACTATGCACGACTTGCCGTCATATTCAAATAGGTCAACTGACTGCCACGGGTACTTCGGAATATCGTGTGGCTGTTATGGTTTCTTTGGTATCGGTGCTTCGGCGCTCCTGACAGATTTCCTGCCCTTGTTGAACAACACCATCTACGAGGGCAAGTCTGTCTCGATAGGTCCAATACTCCAGCACTTCGCTGGGCAATTGTATTCTTTCCCCGAGCCATCCGTTAAGTATCACATCACTTTTAATGATCTGGGGTTTACGATTACTGACCGGTTTACTTTACATAATTACGTGACGTACATGTCTATGTCTTTTGATAGACCGGAGTGCGTGTCGGACAAGAGGTGGTGTGGTAACCTGTCTGTGAGTGGTATACTCTTGGCAGGAAGTCTTTTGACTTTTAAGTCCTGCCGCTGTATACGTTGTGACGCTTCTTACAGAGGCTTCTTAAAGATGACTGCTAATGACTTGTTGTCAGTTTCTGTAATGGGTTTTCTTTCTGACAGGAAATGTTGTGATAGCGCCGTCACCTAAAATGGATTGCGACCATATCATTTACTATCTGCACGTAGTTGATTTCACATGCGGGTAAGGATTTTGATGCGTATGTTTACGGTGTACCATTTGAATTAAGATGGTCCCTAATCCATATTAGAACGCATGCTACGCCGTGGGTTGAAATGGGCTAAAACGGGACAATTGGCACGTGCCATCAGCTCTCTTACCTTTTCGATGGCTAGAACCTGTGGCTTGTTCCGTTAAAAACCGTTAAATAAAGAACCCATCACATTATCACTATTATCGGAACCACATGCGAATTCTTAAAAATTGATCTCGTGCACATATCTAGAACGACACTGTTGGGCGAAATAGGTCCTTTTTTTCGTATGGCACAGGGTTTTCCTTATGCTGGACACGTAACTGTTTTAACCAAGTTTTTAACAGCATTAACCACATTCAGGTTTGTCAAATTTCCTCCGAGAATTACCCGTTTTCTACCGGAAGTTTGTCCGCTGGAAATTGGCGTTTTCAACGGTCATTTTTGAATTGCAAGCCTTGGTACATGTTTGTTTTCTCGATATGTAACATACTGTTTTACTTCCCATGGTTTCGCCTGCTCTGACTGTATTTACTTGCTTCATCGAATGTAACTGCTCCCATGGTACTCGAGTGTTGTGCAATTTCAATTGCTATTGTAAGAGTTAATATTTTACCCTTATTCATGACTTTTTCTCTAACTGTTGCTGACGAGGTCCCAAAGACGATCATGTCTCATCTAATATTGATAATTTCATCTGCATCCGAGAATGCACAATCATTGGCCAAGAAAGGTAATGTAATACGAACTATTCTGTTGATGATGAACCCTGAACTTCATTCTATAACTTAAACCGGTTAAAAATGGGGTTAAGTGTTGGCTGGACATAGTTCTTATAACTTGCATAATGATGTTCTATCATTTGTTCTTCAATTCCGCTTTAAACATGATGTAAACTTATTTGGCTTTCAGCTCACCTCTGTGGTGACAATAGTGTATGATAAAACCAACAAGAGAATCAACCACGTGGGAATATTTATATTTTTGAATATTGGATGTTGTAGCATAAGGTAATATATCTTTATTGTCTTAAATAGTGAACCCTTTATCTGGAAATATCTAAGTCATGACATTCGAGACGCATCTACAAAAATGCACGTAAAAATAAGGATCATTATAATTACGTATACAGGAATTCTAATAAGAAGGCAAGATGCATATTTTAGTAGTACATTGTATTTTATTTGGTAAATTATTATGGTAAACTCCTAATTATTTCACTCTGTCTTTCCAATTTACTCCTGTATGCTTTTTTAATTCAGTTTCATAACATCTTGCATATAAACCTTCTGTTTTGCATTGAAGTGGATATTTCTAAAGAGCTAAATACCAGCGTTGTGTCGTCAGCAAGTCTGGCAGATTGTACATATTTTTTTTAAACAAATTAATATCAGTATCGTTCATCAAATTCAGCTAATATATTGTTATTCCTTTATTCAGAGCCTGCCCTTACATCTGAATATTATTTGTTACATCTTTTTGCCCGTGCTTTTATAAAATAAGTATAATGTTTTATCAGCACTTCTAATTTACCTTTCTTAATTGTACGTCATCTACCTTAACTATTCGCGAATTCCGTAACCCTAATTTAACACACACAGATACATGATCAGTGTACGCGTTTTGAGCAGGTAGTATACCGCCAGAACGCATATTACTTAAGTTTTCTAATTAAAGACATATGTATTAAGCAAGCATCGCTTGTTGCGTTCAGTCTCCATATAAAGTGTTACAAACTTTTTCCTCATTTCGTCCACATATCTGTGTTTAAATTTTCAACTTATTCCACATTTATAATTATATACCTGCGTCTGTGTCATGTTTCGTGTTAAACACATCAATACACATAGGATCTTACATGGGTTGCTATTACTGATGAACGAGTCTAAACAAAAATTCATTATAGCGAGCCTATGACGAGCTAAAAAGAGAAAAAAATCGTGACGAATTACATCAATTGCATGTGAACTGAAAACGAATGTAAGATCTTTTTTATCACACGATCAAGAATGTAAAAAGCTGCAATGTTGACTTCAGTGCGTAAGTCAGTGAGACTAGCAAATGTTTATTGTAAATTTAGAACTATTAATGCTAAATTTCCGAGTGAATGTGGTAGATGGAATAACATAATTTACTTGCCATGCGACGCTGTCTGTTTGGATATTATTTTTCAGTATCACAGTTGTTTCCAAAACGAATGATTGTTTTGAGGAGAAAATTAATCTGAACTCTTCTGAGTATAAAATATTTGAACTATGTGTAAGTTTCTGCTGTAGGGATTGTCCATCTCAAATATTAGCCCAAATACCAAAGTGTTCCCTAGTCCAAAGAGCCAACCTGACCGTAGCAATACTTTGCGTTGAATTAAATGAACCACGAGCCGGATATATCAACTTGTTATAGAAAAGAAAAATGTGATGATATCTATTCATGAAAATTGAACTAACAGTTTTTGATTGATACTATGGTATTGGGCTTGAAGTACACTGACGACAAACTATAGTCTTTAAGACATGATCACTTTTCATTATGAAAACAATAATAATCACAGCAT